CGATGGCGTTTATCCCAATGGACATGGCTTTAATGTCCGAGGCGTGGGAAACTCGCTCCCACAGGCTGAAGATGTGGGCCAAATCGCTTTCCCGGGAGGAGCCTGCTGGGTCCATGTCTGGTGACGTCGTACTGTCATGAATCGCTGTGCGGCAGGCGGGAGTTGGACCCAAAATGAAGGACTCACAGACTCGAGGGAATGAACTCAAAACACAGCTTTATTTGCCGGTAGAACAAACATACAAACTAAACTAAACTGGGAAGCCACAAACTAAGAACTCACAGCGAGACACAGGGAGATCCACACACAGCATGAGGGGCGACGTCAAGCCGAACAGAGGGAGACGCAGACAGAAATACACAGAGGGTTAACGAGGAAAGTGGGAACACACGGGGAACACAGGTGACACTGATAATCATAACGAGACAGGGCGGGGTGAACTGAACATGACATGTACGGGCGTGAGAGTCACAAAGTAAACAGGAAGTGCACAGAGGTTCAGACAGGAGGAGAGAGAGCACGGGGAAAACACAGACATAACGGGCTGGGGAAACATGAAACAACCACAAGGGGAGACGAGGGCTCATAAATACACAGGGCACACAGGGGGGGGAGAGAGAGCACGGGGAGAACTTGGACATAATGGGCAGGGGAAACATGGAATAAAACATAAGGAGAGACGAGGGCTCACAGATACACAGAGGGGCACACAGGGGGTAAAAGCCATGAAGGGAAAACACTTAGGGAACAACACAACAGGGCAACTCAGAAAACATGGCCTAAATAAGGAACAAAATACAAACATACAAGAAAACTAAGAACACTGGGCCAACATGGCCCAGGACCATGACAACAATTGGCCTGTCTGGGTTTTTGATCTGAATAATTACAATAATTACACCTGTATGTGTCATGAACCGCTGTGTGCCAGGCAGGAGATGTGGACCCAAAATACAGGCGCTCAGACTCAAGGTGTTAACTCAAAGTCACAGCTTTATTGGCTGGCAGGAAAAACATACAAACTAAACTAAACTGGGAAACAACAAACTAAAACTCACAGTGAGACACAGCATGAGGGACAACGCGACACTGACTCAGAGAAACACAGGGTTTAAATACAATGGGAAGTAACAAGGGGAATGAGACACAGAAGGAGAGCACAGCTGGGAGAAATCAGAACTGACGAGGCAAGGGAGTAGTAAACTGAGCACACTCACATAAGACACAGACCATCACAATAAAACAGGAAACTCAGACACAGGGAACCAGACAAGACGCTGAACTGAACAGACAGATTCACAAACAGACGGGGTGACACCATAGACAGACAGAGATACAGACGCAGACTCAGAGGCAGACCGAAGAGAACTGAAACAATAATAATCATCATAATAATAAACTAGAAAATGATAATAATAAACTTAAAGCGCTGGGTCACCGAACCAGGACCATGACAGTATGTAATTATACCTGACGTAATTACATTTGATAGGTCAGAAAAGAATCACTCTGAGGCTAAGAAAGATTTGAATGGGTGAATTAAGCTGAGGATCAGGAATTTTCAACAGCGACTAAACAGCAGAATATCAATAATGACTAACCTCATGCTGGGGATGGATCATCTCAAGTGATCTCTTGACTGAAGTTTGGATGGTTTTCAGATTTTTTTTTCCTGCCATCCAGTTGCATTTGTCTCTGCCCATTGGGAACTCTTATGCTGACTTTTATTGTGGGGATAAAAGTTCAGCTTCACTGTGCTAATGTGTTTATATTATCCTAACCATAGCTCTGTATCTAGCCACCACATAGCACACCATTAAATACCAGCTAGCCCAACTTCAGTTATCATACAAACATCTGCTTTTTAGTTTTCACTTCACTTATGTCCGAAGTGATAGCAGAGTTGTACGTTTTAGTTTTTCAGAATTCCCTCACTCAGACATTGCATATCATCTTTAGATGGAAACTAGCAAGCTAACTCCTTGCTAACTTCTAACTCCATTAAACTTCAGAAATTATGTTTTTCTTGGATGCTTGGAAGTTAAACTTAATTCTTACACCTGGTAGAGCTAGCCCTACTGATCATTTTATTAAAGATGAAAGAATTTAGACAGTTTTGAGAGTTTTTTAACTCTCAATATTGCTGCTGAAACTGCTAACACTGCTAGACTTAAGAGAACTAGGGTTAGTCACTGTGGCATCATTCATTGTTTGTGAAGTCCCTTGCTGAAGCCTTGACCTGAATGTTTTCACCACTTTGCTTTTTTGAAACCAGATGTGACAAGTGAGGGGTGGATCTGACTGTCACACTGCACTCTTAGTAAATAAAGCAGTAAGGACCTATTGGATGACTTTTTATTTATTTTTATTATTTTTTTTATACTTAGAATAAACAAATTTTTCAAATTAATGGCAATTTCTGTTCAGGATTGGTTAAAACATATGTTATCGGTATCATCATTCCCATTCCCCATCTTCGGCATGGTCAGACATGACTAAAATTTTATTTTTGTGTTCTATTTAACTGATACAGTATTATTCACAGTAAGTAAATAAGTGTATATTGCAAGAGTATGTTACATCATCAAGTAACCATCGAGTAGCTTCTGTACTCTATTTGCAAGTGGTAGGGGTCTAGTAAAAGCAATATTTTTGCAATATTTCTTCCTCCCCCTACCCCAAACCTCTCATCACCACAGAGTGACAACCTGTAACCTGCAGCCATTCTGAGTGCACATGTGTGGGTACAAGATGGGTTTGAATAAATTGAAACTATTGTTTAATGTTATTTCAAAACACATGTAAAAATAACCAGCATAAGGAGGAAATCTATAAAGATCAAAGAACAGGGAAATTACAATTATGCAAAATGGAATGGGAATGAAGAACTGTGTTATAACAAGAAGAGAACATCTGCAGGGACTCCGAAACTGGTCACAGAAAATATACATAGTTAAAATAAATCGATCCATTCAATTTGTGAAATATACAATGCTGTGCAAAAGACTAGAGGCACACTTTATTTCTTTATGTTTTGCTATGATAGGAGGAAATAGGTGTAGCCATTTATTGAAATATGTGTAAGGACATGTGAAAATACAGTAAATGAGGCAATTTACAATTATAATTATCTTGAAAGTTAACATTTGCTCTGATCACCTCTTTTAGGCAAGCTGTCTTGTAATTTCTTTAAGTAGTCTGCGTGAATAGTTCTCCAATCTTTGTGAAGAACATTTCAAAGCTCTTCAGTGGACACTGTATTTTGTTCTGTTCTCTCTCAAGACGATACCTCACAGTTTCAATAATATTGAAATCGTGCTCTATCGGGAGCCCCATCCATTTCTCATAATGTTCTATTGTGTGTTTTTCTATTATCCCAATGGAGCATTTTTCTCTTAGGGTTCAGGCTTACTTGTGGTTCCCAGTTTCCAACTATAGAATGGGAGACAGAGCCTTCAACTATCAGAAGACTCTCCTGTAGAACCAATTCCCACTTTGGGTTTAGGACTCTACTTTTAATTTTAGGCTTCAAACTTTCCTTTTTGGTAAGCTTTATACTTGGGGCTCAAGTACTGTTGCCCAGCACCTGCATGTAGGGAATCCACTGATTCGTTTTCTTAATTCTTTATCCAACTTAGTGTCCCAAGAGTAGGCAAAGCACAGCCTGGACAGGCCTCAAAATATGTCTTGATATTTATATTTTATAATTATATATTTATTTTTTATATTTATTGAGTATTTATATAAAAATATAAAAATATAAAATAATATAATATAATATAATATAATATAATATAAATACTTTGACGTGACTTTTGTTTCAATAAATAAATACACAGAATTGAATGAAATGAATTCATGCTAGGCCATCAAAATTTCGATGCAATCAGAAAAAGGAGCAATGACAAGTAAAAGGTTTCGCAAAGATAAGAAGTTGTCGATTGAAATTTGGTTGTGGTAGTAGTCATTTCTGCCTAAAGGGTTCATTTGGATCTATCAGGGTGTGCAAGCTTGGTGTTATTAGATAAAGCTCACTCTGGCTTATTTTGTTGTTGTTGTTGTTGTTTTTTTCCTTATGGAAAGGCCCAATAAAGATATTAAAACTCCACAACACTTTAACAAATTACCCATCAGTTTACTCTGACTGTGTCTGGGTTAATAATTTAACATTGGCTTTTCACAGGCTAAATGAGGAACTTTTCTCACTGAAGTTAATGAGAGTCACAAAGTGAAGCCTGTACCTTAGAATAGAAAAGGCTCACTACATCTGCAGTCACAAAGTCAGGTCATCCGCAGCTGCCTCTTTAATCCTTCATCCCTGTTTTTATCTAGGATCATCTTCATTCGATCCTAAGCCCCGATTGTACCTTTCTCTGTTTATTTTACTAATGTTATCCCTTTTATTCTTATCCTGATTCCCCTCCTCCACCTCCCGTCTCTGCTCGGGAGGTGGAGAGACAGAGGGAACTTCGTTTCTAATCTAATCCTGACTCTTGATTAAGGATTATAGCTGGGAGCGTTCTCTCATGTGTTAATGCTGAGCCGCTGCTGTTACCCCGGGGCTGAACCGCCTACCCCTCCTCCCTCTGCTGCCTGGCCTGCCTCCAGCCCCAGAACGACCTGCTGAGCACGATAGCTGTCAAACTACTATTTGAATACCTGTTCGAGCCATCCCGCACATCATGCAAATGTTCCTCTCGCATCTGTGAACCAATCCATCCACTCTTCCCTGTGCACAGCCACCCTTTTCCATCTGACCTGGATTAGGTTTTTAATCCAAATATGGCAAAAATGCAGGAGATGTTATCAAGTATGTAAACTGAACTGGAAATACAAACTCTCAGTAGTTAAGAAACTTGATGCAACTTCCTGCGTTTGGTAGCTCTCTGCTCTGGAGTCCATCAAAGTATCAAAGGCACCAGCGGCTGTTTCAGCCAGTGAAACTAAGAGCACGATTGGTGTGCGCTTGTTCCTCTTTCCCCCACCTCAGATGCGTACAGCTTAAACTTCCTCCTGCAAGTCCAGTGCGCTGCGCTCCGCCGCCCTGTCAACGTGTCCGGAATGACCCACACGAGTTAGGAAGGGATGGAACTCACTTAAAAGAAATGAGGAATATTCGACACCCGCTCATCCAAATTTAGAAGATCATTTATAACCAAAGAGATACTAGTCGAAGCGACTGACTAAAGCGCGGTAAGTGTCCTGTTATGTGTTCGCTTGTGTTGTGAGTGAGAGGGTATAATGTACAAATTTTAACAAAAACACACAAAAAAGATAACGGTAGGAAGTAAAAAGGTTACAATAAAATATTTTTTAAGACTTGGAAAGTGGGTGTTTGATCATCGACAAGTTTTTAGTTTTATAAAGGCGATGCTCACTTCCAAAAAGAGGAAGTTCGCGGTGCTTGACAGCCACCGCCTGCAGAAGTCACGGTGCATAAACTGCGATGATGAGCCGGTGGGCCGTGTTACCGGGATGTACAGCAGTAAAGCACCTTTATCAGAGTGTCCCGCGTCACTTTCTAAATGTGAAAATCTTTTAAAACGAGGGTCTGAAGTCCTTTACCGTGTTTGTGACAGTGCGTGTGAGTGGGTGCATGGGAGTTATTTTTAGAATGTCCATCTAGACTAAACCAGAAACAAGACTAGTTTCACTTCTGTTCTCTATTTATACACCAGCTTTCAATTTAAACGTTGAATGGGTTTAGAATCAAAGCCCCTAAAGGAAGACGACGGATATGATTGCAGTGTGGGGAAGACAATTGTTTGTATTTTCCTGCTCTTACCCCACAGACTTGCACTAAAAGAAAGTCCGGAGGTGTTAGACACACCGCAGAAATGCCGATATTACATCACAGTACTTAGTAGAGCTGAATACCTCGTCTTGTCTTGCATTAATAGGCCTGAAGTCACTTCAGCGTCATTTTTCGAAAATGTCCTAAACGGAAAATTAAAGGGTTATTGCAACCCAGTTGTTTTAATTACATTACAAAACATGAAACAATAATTTTGTAGTTAATTTGTATTCAAATTTATGTATTACACAGTCGAAGTGGAATCGATCTGTTACGTATGTTATGTATATAGCATACTGAGTTTTACATCTTTTCCAAACACGTCATTTCACATAATCACGATTTATCCTGACATGACATTTATATGAGTTAGTTTGTTAGTTTAGTTTGGAAGGAAACACAATTCTGAGACTGACTAATGACTAAACCCTCATGATGGAAAGCTGGTGTATATGCTTTAAATGTGTTAACATTAATGTATGTTAAGTCTTCGTTGTTTGTTGTTTGATAAAGATGAAAACTGAGAATCAGTCAGTACCCTATAAAGTCGCTGGGTGCAGAATTATCGGGTACAAAATGTCCCCAGAAGCCACTGCTGTAAATGAAGAAGTGACTCCGTGAAGTGGAAAAAAATGCAAATTTTTTATTGTTTTTTTCAACTGAACTTAATGTGTAACATTTATTGAACATGGTTTACAATATTCTGCTAACTGATTTTAGTTTCTCAAATAAGATGACTAACCGGTTTATATAATTATCATCATTTAAGTGAGAGTACCTCCCCTTGCTCATCTTTGTGATTCACGGTTCAGCTTTTTTAAGTATTTGAAGCAGTCTGAAGCCTGAGCGGTGGGGTCTTTTTATGAAACTTTGGAATTCTGTAAAATAAACATCGACCAGTAGAATTGTACAGCATGACAGTCAATAAGAAAAGGTCCTCTTAAAATGCTGTACACTTGACTACAGTCATTTGATCTATGAAAGATCAGTTATTAGAAGACAATCCTCTCTTACTTCAAGATTTACTGGACGACAGGTCATAAAAGCAATAAAACACAAATATTTTAGAAATCTGTTGAACTTGTTTAATACTGTACAAACAAACAGAAAACATCTCTCTAGTTATCTATTTGGCAAATGAAAAATTAATTTTTTTTTAATGTTCAAATTTGAGCAGACACATTGGACTTCTCTGAGAACTCAGAAATTAATGACAGATAACATTAAACCACCTAAACTAGATATTATTTTCAAGCGTGCAAGTTAATAAGTGCAACCTTACACTGATTATAACTTTGTTACCCAAACCTGTCATACTTGTGTGACATAATAATAAAATAAGAATCAAACCATAAATAAAATTGTTTGTTCATATAGAAAGTATATGTTTTTATTTTGTTTTATCACATTTCGATTGCCATGTGTCTATCAGCCAAATTTATTAGGTGTTATTGAGTGCCAGCAGTATACACAGATGCACAGGAGTAACCCACCAGGCTGACACGATGTCAACTTTCTTTCTTTCTTTCTTTCTTTCTTTCTTTCTTTCTTTCTTTCTTTCTTTCTTTCTTTCTTTCTTTCTTTCTTTCTTTCTTTCTTTCTTTCTTTCTGTTGGTCCCTTGCCAGGCTGGCAGGTGATGTTGTTATGGCCTGAGGCAGTCCTAAACAGCTACAAACACAGCTTGGCAGCTTTTTCATAAAAAAGAAAGGCCGCCCAACAAGGCACACATGAATAATTCCACTCCTCTGTCCCTTGAGAGAGTTTTTGCTCATGTTTGTTGCTGTAGCAGACTAGTTTAAATGTAGGATAATAAATGAGATACTTCCTTAAAGCCATGAGCATTAAAGCAGCCTGATACCTGCTCACCTGTTTACCTGTCACCTCTCAGACAGGTAAAGGAAGCAGATAGCCTCCAAATACAAGTCTGCAATAGGGTCTATAAAATGGATACATATATTTATGAATACACAGCCTAGTGTTAGGAGTGGTACTCATTTGCATAGTATATCAGTTGCTAATTCTGAGCTGGGCCTTTACACTGCCAGCCATAGAGATTGAGTCGGTTAGAAGACACAGTGGTGTTATACTGTCAACATCCATATATGATATTACTGAATAAGTATCTTAGTTTAATTGTTCATTACAAATTCTTTAAAGTTGCAATCAGAGCTCGTAATCATAAGGTTAACCCTCACTTATATGCTTTCAGAAGTTGGTATTATCAAAGTAAATCACTTGCTAGGGAGCCTATATGTTTTCTTATCTCAGATCAAAAATGCATAATTTGAAAGGCAGCATTTCTCTTCTGAAAGACACGGTGCATGTTTTCCAAAAGTGATGTCATATTATAGACGTTGCTATTGAAAAACAAAGTGCTTATTATAGAGTTTTACCGCATCATTTATGAAAGAAGAAATTATAAGTTCCTCCTTCTAATAAAAAAAGTGAATTCATAAGCAAAAAGACAAAAAGAAATCCTACCACTGGTTAAGTCAGTACAGGGTTTTTGCCATGGCAGCCTTACTTGGTCTGGTCAAAAATGCTGACAGTCAGTGGTGTCTTTAAAGTAGATGAGCCAAGCTGATCTCAGATGATAAAGTCAGATTCATCATGCTATCATGCGTCGTCTTCAAGTCTCCTTTAGCACATGTGCAGTCTGCCTTTAAAGTTTTTTAATGACTGTTTATTAGGGCCGCCGTGGTGTTTAAATTAAATACATGATGAAGAAAAGTCTCTTCTGTCAAACCATCAGTGCCCATATAATTTTTTTTATGCAGCAAAAAACAAACAGAAAGAACATTTTTTAAAAATACAGTTAATTTATTTAAAAGAAAAGATAATGAAAAAAATACTGGCTGTGATTACAGTGGGGCATTTACATGAGTTCATAAAGTCACGATAGTTTTACCACAGCGCACCAATTTGTGATGTTTTGAACTGAAATGTAACGTACAACATACGGTGATTCAGTCATCACTGGCTGTTTATCTTTATCTTAATGTAACCTATATTTATGTATATTTATGTATATATACATGACGACTCAGAGTTATGCTATTTGTTTAAGCCAATTTCCAGTCGTGATGCTAAGGTTACAGGTTCCTCGCCATAGCCTCTTTTTAACTTGAGCACATAGGAGTGGTAAAACTCCCTGCTAACTCTTTACAAGAAAGTAAGTTTACTTCCCAAAAAGTATTTTGGGACATAACCTTGTGTCAAACTCCACACTTTATCTTTTGTTGCTGTGATTAAAATCATGTTTTTCATGGGTGGAGATTGATAACTAGATATAGATTTGGGATTTCTATCATTAGACGCCATGTGTTTTTTAAGATTTTACTGTTAAAGAAACAAGGTGACTTTACAGGTTTAACAAAGCCATTGTTCCAGATAGTGCTTTTTTGAAGGTTGATGTGGTCTCGGCCACAAGCTGAGGAGAAAAAACAATAAGAGAACAGCATAGGCACAGAACTGAAACTGATGGCGTAGTCAAAGCATAAGAATTTTCCCATGAATTTGTCTTTTGTATCCCCAATAAAAGGGGAAAACAAAATTGCCATAAAAGCATTTTTTTAACCAAGTTTTTTTATTTTTTACACAACAGAAACTGATACACGTTCACATTTACACAGGATCCATGTTCATTTACCACTTATTTTTGTATACTTTGATGAGATGAATCACTAATTAGGGGCTTCATTCCTTGTCTGCTGCAGAAGTAGATGAATTATAGGTGGTGACTGGTGAGCCATTCACAACTACTACAGATGTAGTTATGTTTCCATTCTGGTCTGTGCTTCACATTTAGTGTAAACATTTGTAGGTGTGAGAATCATAACAGACGAGACGGTTGTGGTTTTGTTTTGCTAGCCTACTTTATACACAATTTTTTATTTATTTTCTGTTTTACTTAGACTGTATTGCTACCTTGTTGTTATGAAGACCATTCTTAGAATCTAAAATCAATAGTTTAACATTTAGTGGATTAATAGCGCAATATTGATTAAAGACTTATGCAGACATGACTTGTGTAATGACTATCAGTTGCCTCAGCATGAAGTGTTAAATCTGGGGAAGCCCATAAATATATATATATATATATATATATATATATATATAGAGAGAGAGAGAGAGAGAGAGAGAGAGAGAGAGAGAGAGAGAGAGAGAGAGAGAGAGAGAGAGAGATATCTTTGGCCTCTACTATTTATAAGAACAGTATCTCAGTATACTTGCCATATTGTTTAGGGGAGTGGCACCACGTGTCTGTGGTTAGAGGTCTTTCAAGATTGTCAGGACACAATGAAATTACATTGTTGTAAAGTGGTTTGATCATTTCTTTATGTATAGTTTATTTTGGACTAGTCAACATCTTTCTCTTAATTTAGTTAGAAAATATATTATTATTTCACTTAGCATAGCACTAAAGATGGTAACATAACATTAAGTTTTTATTAGGTAGAGATGGGTTAGCAGCCCAAGTCAACAGCCCCTTAGCAAAATGGATCCAGATCCAGAAATGGCAACTATTTATAAATGTATGTGGGAGGCCTAACAGCATATCTGAAGTTCATCAGTTCAGACTTTTGTGTTTTGTTTTTTTCAATGACTTCACGCACTTTGGTTGTGCTATCATTTACCGTTATATTTGTATTTCCTAAGTACTGTCAAAGCAATATATGTTAATTAGTAGTCTTTAGAAATACTTTCTTTTTGCTGGTTAAACTCAGTTGGCTTCATGTTAAGAAAAAATGACAATGACTGCATTGTCATTTTTTCTCTTATACTCTTCAAAGAAACAAGTGTGTTCTAATCAGTATGTTTAATATTTATGTTAATTTTCAGAATTCTCAGAAAACACATGAAAAAAGGAGAAATTCTCTGATGTGAGGAGTCGTCATCCCCTCTAATCCATAATGATGGAGTGGATGAGCACGCAATTTTTACCGCAGTTACATTCAACAACCTCGTTATTTGAGAAGGGTTAGCTTTTTTGGGAAATTTATTTTTCTTTCTAACAAAATACAACATCCAGGCCCTTAAGAATCCAAGGTCTTTCTATTGCAGAACTGATAATCCTCACACTCCCAGCTTTCATAACCTGGAGGCACAGTCCATTAGGATTAACACAGTTTTGCTGTTGTTCATTGACAGAAAGCTCCAAATAGAAGCTACAGTAAAGTCATTAGTGGATTTGTTTTCCAAGGTGTTCCAGTGAAGAGTAGCATCCATGTATCTGTAATGTACGGGCAGAATATAAGCACTGGGATTAACAGCAAGTTGAATCATCTGCTACCACAAAGAGTATTTATGAGATAAATCGGGTTTATAAAGCTGCCTTTAAGTTTGTTTAGATCTAAAAATGTTGCGCACAGCTGTAAAGTGGCCCCATTGTGAGGCCCTAGCAGGGCATTTTAACTGTCACCATCTTGCCGTTTTGAAACCAGACATGACAAGCGAAGGGCTAGATCTGAATGAGAAACCCTGGAACACTGCGGTAGCTACGTGTCACAAAATAAGGCCCGCTCTAAACAATGCACAGCTTTATCTGTCTTTCTGACTCTAATGGGACCTTACTTCATGAAAAAAAAATTAAAAGCATCAAGGGTTTGTTTTTTTAGGCAGACTTTAAATTATCCAAATGAGTCACCCCTCGTGAAAGTGTTTACAGAGATCTGCTTTCCCATACACTTCTGCACAATCTGACTTTTTGTATTCTAAAGGCCATTAGACCAAATTCATGCATTTATGCTTCACATTTAATCTTTTATTTTTTTTAGTGAAAAAAAATCCTGTAAACCATTCACTATATCTGCAATAAGCTACTCTTAGCAAATTGATCAGTTTGAATTATCTGCAAAACAGATCTTGTCTTTAACTTTAGAGCTTAATTGCAGTAGATAACTCTTGGAGAAAAATGTTTTGCTGTTCTTTTTATTGCATATTTAGTGTTACAGAGATGTAATTGAAAAAGTCGTTTCTGTGTTCATAATACTTTGAATAGGATAAGCAGCTTTTAAAGTTAAAGTCACTGTGATGCTTGTCAGCTCTCACCTACTGGTAGCAAGGGCACAGCAACAACTGGGCACCCACACAATCAGACTGATATTATGCTCTTGTAAAGATTCTGCACGTACTGGCGATGAGACATATTTAGGATATTATCACTGGATACAGTGATATTAAAATTATGCTGCAATGTGAAGCGCTGTCAGGACTTCATGCACCAACATCCCAGCCTGAGAACTGAGGTTTTTTTCCACTTTTGCTGGCACTTTTGATTCAGGCTGTGTGGACGAGTTGGTTTGTCTTTGAAGTGTCTTGTAGGTGCGTCACACGTGGGCAAGACACTGACAGTTGCATTTTCACAGAGTAAAAAGCTCTCTTTTACTGTTTCGCTAATTTTAATTTTGCATTAGTAAAACTGCGGCACCATGACTGTTCATTATCTAGAGGTATTGTACTGAGAGTTTTATTAAAGAAGTCAAAGAGGCCTCAAGTAGACATCTGAAGAGGAACAAGGTTTGGAGCAGAGAAAAGGGGAAGTAAATATGTTAACGCCACCAATTTTGACCTCAGTAACACCACTTCCTGTGTCTAAACATTTTCCATTGCTCGCCACTGTGCATAATTGACAGTATGGTAATTATTGCTGGCCATAATAATCTGCAGCTTCCAGAACAGATCAACAGCCAGTTGGAGAAAACATGAAAAATTCTGTAACCGCTGATGTTTTTTGCTGCTTTGTGGCTTTTCTGTTTAGGCTTCCTTTGCTCAGGGCGATAATCTGCCTCTCTGAGGTGGCGGGAGATCAGACATGAACAGCTGTCTCTCTTGTGTCCTCTCTATCTGTGCATGTGCTATCAAACACAGTGTCCATCTCCTATCACAGACTCTCTCTTTGTTCTTGTTCCTGTAAAACTTTGTTCCATTTATCTGCATGCACATTTACATATACAGACATAAATGCGCTGAAACAGTGTGATACAAGGATGCATTCCCTAGATGTTACAGATGAATAACAGAGACTTGTGTGGAAATTATTTTGTTGGCACATGACACAGAAAGACTTACTTACCAAAACTGCAAACATCATCAAGTGAGTCACGAACATGTGTGAGAACATATGAATTATTCAGAATAAACAGCAGTAGTGTGGAGTTCGCAGAAGCCTGCAGTGTGTCAAAAACATTTACTCATGGTCATCTGAGTTTTAAGGCATCTTTCTCTTCTCAGTCTACCGTCTGTGGCGACACATATATCTTCACATGCTGTTTTCCCACGTTACACACCCAAAATGAGAGAATTTTCTCAGTACATTTACAGTAAGAGCAGTTGGGTTGAGATAATGTCTAATGCTGAGTTTTGGTTTGGAGTCCAGCCTCCCGTGTTCAAAGTAACATTGGCCCATCCATTCACCTCAGCCACCCCCCTGAGTTACTTCTCTTTTCTTTTATCCACATAGCAAAAACATGATACATGAAGTTTAATTGTGAGCTGTGATAAGGTATTGGTTGATTTTAGTTGTTTCCTGTGTGGACAACCCTATTCGGCAGTAAAAACCAAAAATTAATGATTGTAATCAAATTAATATTCGGCTTATATTTACAAGGAAGGATCTGGATTTACTTTAACTAAGCGAAGAATCCTCTGCAGTTCTTTCAAAGGTCATTTGAGAAATAATTTATTAAGCTTATATGTGTAAGAGAAGCTAGCTAATTCTTTACACCAGACCTTCCCAAAGTGTGGGGCCCGCCCCCTAGGGGGGGCGCAGAGCCATTGCAGGGGGGGCGCTGCATGAAAAGGGAATTTTTTTTTTTTTTTAAAACAAGGCTTGGACACTGCTAGCACGGGGAGCCAACACAAACGCAAAGCAGGAGATGAAGCATAGCTGAATATGTTTCCAAACCAACTTTATTTTAAGCCAAAGACTAGAAAATATGGAGAAGCATATCTTCCCTTTGGTCTCCCCTGCAGAATTGGTCTTTCCTTCGTCGGGAGCACACCTGGGCTCTTCAAATCATGGACAAACAGTATTCCACATTCTTGATTTTTAGTTCACAAACACTTGTTGTAATGACTAACTACTCCTGACATTTTGGAGATGTTTGCTCTTTATACAGTAAAGTTACAGTGGGATATAAATAACATCAGGCTGATCCTGCCAGTTTGTTCCCCCTGTCTAAATCAGGACAAACAGTATCCCACAGCTGTTTATGTTTTTAAACTCATTTTGCACAGAGAGGCATTTTTTTGAAAAATTTATTGATAGCAATGTTGAACATTATTACACAGGAAAAAAACAACTACATGTAAAATAATCAAACCGTGACGCCTCTGCCTTTCTAAATAGAGGGACAGAAACTGTGTGTTTATATGTAAGCGTGTAAAACCTGAAGATAGAGACAAAATACTGTTAATCTGACTATCTGCCATTCTGTAATTCCTCTCATGTAAACAATAACGTGGCGCACAGCGTGAGGTGAAAAAAGGCACATACCTTTAACGTTGCATGACGAACTCTGTATTCCTCGTCCACACGTAAACGCAAAAAATGAGTTTTCATTTTTCAGTGATTCGAAACGCCGTTTACGTGTGGACGAAACAGCTGCGTTTTCAAAAATACCCGTGTAGGTGTGGACGTAGCGTAAAAGAGTTAGTAGTTTATTTTATTACTACCTGCAGTTTACTTGTATTTGCTTAATTGTTTACTAAATGTTTGAGGTGTGTAATTAACCTCAATTGAGCAAAATATGGATGTGTGTGTGGGGCGAACATTTTTCTGTAAAACAAAGCGGGGGCCAGCGAAAAAAGTTTGGGAACCACTGATTTACACATTTATTATGAATCTTGTGCTTTTTAAACATCCTAACTCCTTCTGTGTACGAAAAGCTAGAATCATATTGTTTGTTGCCGTTTTTGATACTAAAATTCCACAATTCTTAAACTATATTAATTTATTTTGCACACTCCACTCTCCTCTGAATAAAACCAATACAATGCTGTGTAAAAGTAACTGTCCCTAAACTGGCCATTCATGCTCAAAAACCCTCCAGTGTGGTTAAATTAAAACAATTCTGCAAAGAAGAACTGGCCAAAAGTCCTCCACAGTTATCACAAATGCTTGATTGCTGTTTTTCTGCCAAAGGTTGCACAACTAGTTATTAAGTTTAGGGGGCAAATACCCTGAAAAATGCTGCTGATGTCCACACTTTCACATCTTGCTGTTTCTCCTCTTGTTGTTATCTTGCAGAAGGCACCATGGGTTGTGTGGGCTCAAAAAAGGAGCAGGAGCCTCACAGCAAAGGAACGGGTAATGATGATCTGCAGAACCGAGCACAGACTGCCCACTATGTCAAAGACCCAACCACAGGAAACTCTGGGAATAAAGCTGTAAGTAGTCAATTTATGTCACAGCATAAAGTGTTTCATATTGTTAGCCTGCAATTAGCCTCTATTGCCTCCACTGGCTATATGTTAGGTTCTACTAGATGACACACTTAAATAATGTTAAATGTACTGTAAAAGTATTTACTGGTCTAACTCGCAACAGTATTAGCAATATAATTTTACCATAATTGTTGACTGAACTTGGGCTGGAGTCTATCCCAGCTCTCATAGGACAAGGCACAGGGTACACCTCTGACAGGTGGCCAGTCCATCACAGAGACAGAGACAGACAGCCATTTATGTTCACATTCACTCATACCACCAATTTTTGATCATTATTTACCTTAGTCTTAGGTTAGACCCCAGTCACACAGGCCTTTTTCAAAGGGCCTTTTCCAACCAATATGCAAGTGGTTGAAGGCAGTCATTATGAAAGCATCAATACAGCTCAGTAACCCTATTGTAACCACCATAAAAAAAAGCTGACAAGTGATTGATTGGTGTGCTGCACCAAAAAAAAATCCTGCTTTGGTCACCAGGCGATCGCCTTAGTCACCCAAAGGTAACAATAGCAGGTTGTCTGCATGCACGCTGTAGCACCCTCTTTGTGACCAGTGAGAGGCAGCAGACACTCACCAACCAGTTAAGGAATACGCAACTTCCCCTAGCGAGTGACTGTTGTAGCTACTTAATGCTACTGGACACTTTAACCCAGTGGCTTTTAACTTAATGGTTGGCCACAAATGGAAAATGATAACATACCATTATTTTTCATATGTACATTCCGTTTTCCACATAATGTAATTTTTTTTAGAGAAGCGCTTGATAAATGTACCTCTTTTTCTTTAATGTTTGACGTCTTAAAATAAACAACAGCTGGCAAATAAGTGCAGTAGCTCGGAAGTAGAATCAAACTGAAATATATTTGTAGTAAATAAACAGAAAGTACTTTCCATTTTTTGTTTTGGTCCAAATAAAAGGGGCAGACAGATTTTTGGCTTTAAAAGACAAATAATTATTATTCATAACATATTACAAGTACTACTTTACTTTAATGATACAGAAGAGTAAGAACACATTTCACTGATTCAGAAGTGATAGGAGTCACTTCTCTTGTGCTACTCAAAAAGGATATATGCGTGACAACACACACTCTTAACTAGCCTGTGACTTGTTGTGAGTTTGCATACCGGCCAGACTTTGATCTGTGGCACGGGTAAGCAGCAGTGCTGCGGTCGGTAAGTGCGGTTCTTCCGGCTACTGTTTCCTGTGTACTGACTATAACATCTCTTTCACCCTTAGTCAAGAAAGAGGAAGTAACAGAAGAAGAAGCAGAGCACAGCAGTCAGCTAGGAGATGTAGAATGAAAAGGGATAAGACAGCTCTCGACTTGCACATAGTATTCTTTTACAGATGTCTAAATATACAGATGTTACATCTACACGCCTGGTTTCTACATAACTCTGTTTATTTTTATCATTGTAAAAAAAATAAACACTTTGTGTCAAAAACTGTGTGACACGAAGAGCCGACTTACATGTCAGAAACCTCAAACAAAATTTACTCTGTACCACATTTAGATTTCTAGATTTGATATGATAAAGTCCTTCCTTCCTTCGAAATGTGTGTTTTCAGTAACATGCCTCCAGCATGGAGTTTAAAAAAACCCATGTAGAATAAGAACCAGTTATTTTATTGAAGCACATTAATGTGCTCGAACCTAATGGCCATGAGGCATGTGACAGCACTTAAGCTATGTCATCACACACATTCAATTCATAACCCAATTTTATGGATTTCAGATAACTTTGATTTCATTCAAATTGTACAGTAGTTTATTGTTATTGAATTTGAAGAGAATAACTACCATGATGTGACATCATAATACCACCAGGAAGTGGGTGGACAACAAGTCCAATTTTTAACTAAAAATTGGACTTGTTGTCCAATCCTGCACTAGTGTTTTGTGCAGGATTTGTAATAATTACTACAGCTTTAAACAATTTTCTTGTAGATTTTGAAATGATTATTTGAAAGAACTTACTTTTTTTTCTATCTGTCTTTCCACAGGCCAAAATGCCTTCCAATGCAAACATTGCAGATGGTGAGTCTCACTCTATACGTACAGCAACACTAACATGTCGGGACTTCATTCCACATCTTTTATTACAGTAGCACGTTTAGCCAGTTACAGGTGTTTTCCTTGCCATCACAAATACATGTCACAGATATATGAGAATAGATATGTCACATTTAAAAAACCAAGATGTAGGTCAGTGTTGGTTAGATGCAGAAAGCTATGTCTTTTATGCCAGAAAGAGGAAGAAGACTCAGCGTGTGTGTGCAGAGCGATAACCCCTCACACTGCCTCACCACGCAGGCCTTCAAAACTAACCCTATTGCTATTATTATCAAGCATACAAAGAAGTCAGTCTTGTAGCCAGAAAACGGTGAACCTAGTGCTGAAACAAACAGAACAATCAGTCGCTCTCACATATTAGGAGTACTGGCCAAAAACCTCATGCACATAATTTAAGGTGACAATGAAAAAATGAAATGAAAAAAAGTTTTAGTCTGCACATGACAGCAACAGTGCATGAGGCCTTCCTCTGCTTTCTTTTTTCTGCTTTAGGGGAGAGTATTGCCATGGCACTGTACGACTATGAGGCCATTCATGAGGGAGACCTTGGCTTCAAGAAGGGAGATAAGCTGAAAATCTTAGAGGAGTAAGTTCAACCACAAAAAAGATGGTTTATATTATTTGCGGTTTGAAGAGTTATCAGGTTGTTCCGTGTTCCAAATTTAGTTTGGGGACTTGTGACACTTCTGACTTGCCATGTTTCTGTTAAGTCTTCACAGATGCTGTCTTTTACTCTCTCTGCAGATCAGGCGAGTGGTGGAGAGCTATGTTAATCAGTACAAGTCAGGAAGGCTACATCCCCAGTAACTATGTAGCCAAAGATACTCTGGAGGCAGAGGAGTAAGCAGACTCACTCTGAACACAAAAACACACATGCACACACACTTGTGTACCATACTAGTAAAACGAATAACATGACATAGTGTTATTACTGATAATAGGGAAATGAGCATTATGTAAGCTAAACATATTTAAACATATTTAGATGTCACATTTTTAAACTGAAAATGAACTTGGTAACACAGAAAACAATATGAAGGTAAAATGAGGGCATATACAAAATAGCCGCTACAAGGTTTCAGTACTGACTTATCTGTTTCCTACTGTTAAGGTGGTTCTTTAAGGGCGTAAGCAGGAAAGATGCTGAGAGGCAGTTGCTGGCCCCTGGGAACAAAATTGGATCCTTCATGATCCGAGACAGTGAGACTACCAAAGGTAAGTGATGTATATTTGAGAAAGACACTCTTTGTTCTTTTGTTGGCTAAGAGAAGAAAGTTGAAACATGGACCAAATCGTACATTAAAATAATAATATTAATATTTCTTTGTAACAAAGGACAGTATATACATGGGCTAATTACTTGTTAATGTTAATAGTTAGTTTTAGTTAGTTTTAATATTAGCATTTAGAGTCATAACTATAGAAGTGATAAAAGGATACTTTAGCAGACTTATATTTCATTTGAAAATGAATGCTATGTTTCCAAAGTGTCTGAAAACTAGACATATGACTTCCTGTTAACACTAGCGTGAATGAAATTAAAATTGTGATGGAATGTCCATGTGATGCTCACAGCTTTTTCTGTTTCCCTAAATGAAGCAAAAACAAGAGAAAAGACACTCCAGTTCAAGCTAGACCTCTTGTGTGTTGCTTTAATTTGCTTTGAACAGTCCCTGTGGATAAGATGCTGTTTCTCCTTTTCCACAGGCAGCTACTCTCTGTCTGTCAGGGACAGTGATCCTCAGTCCGGTGACACAGTGAAGCATTATAAGATTCGTACACTGGATAATGGAGGATTTTATATCTCTCCCCGCATCACTTTCAGCACCCTGCAGGAACTGGTCAGCCATTACAAGAGTGAGTTCTAGCTATCAACCAATCTCACGCTCTAGTCCAGTGCTGACTCATTCAAACTTTTCACAGCTGTGCTCACAGTGTTTTAATAGCACAGTTAGGTTATCTTCTGTTTGCATTGAATTGCTGACGTTGGGACTTCTTGGGGGCGGCCAAGCAGCTCCAGCTTAGTTTGCATTCCACTGAACATTATTCTTATAGTAGTGCAGAGCACACTCTGCTGGCCAACTTTAATATGGCAGCCTTTGTGGAACATTGCATTGCTCTGTGACGAGTACTACTATCATGATTTCTCAATAGCATTATTTCTTATTTTATACTTTTCTACCACAGAGGTACAAAATCAAATTGCTAAATATTCATTCTGCTACATACAGAGCAAGGAGATGGTCTCTGCCAGTCCCTGACTAACCCATGCCTGAGTCCAAAACCTGAAAAGCCGTGGGAGAAGGATGCATGGGAAATCCCAAGATCTTCACTCAAACTGGATAAGAGGCTCGGTGCTGGCCAGTTTGGAGAAGTGTGGATGGGTGAGATAGATCTTCATCATTGTAGAATCCATTTGTTTATTGTGATGTTAGATAGAAATCCATTTCCTAAACGTAATTTTTTGTTTGTTTGTTTGTTTGTTTGTTTGTTTTAAGCCACATACAACAAACACACAAAGGTAGCAGTGAAGACCATGAAGCCTGGCAGCATGTCAGTGGAAGCATTCATGATGGAGGCCAACCTCATGAAGACTCTACAACATGACAAACTGGTTCGACTTCATGCTGTCGTCAGCAAAGAGGAGCCAATCTATATTATCACTGAGTTCATGGAGAAAGGTGTGTGTGTGTGTGTGTGCCTGAGTGTGTATTTGTACATGTCCACATGGGCTATTGATGTCAGCGATTGCTGCAACATCTTTGAAAAGTGTTTTCCCATGACATTTACGTTCAAAATGTTTACACTACGTTACACTAAAAATGAAGGGAGATGCTCTTTGCTGTGAGGTAAAAGAACATTTGAAAAAGATGAACTGATCATAGCTAATACAAGCAGTGGCTATAGTTAAAATGGGTGATAATAATAATTATCAGTTTAATAACTAATGCCATCTGTTTGTTAATACTTTTGCATTTGTGTGCCTACAGGTAGTTTATTGGACTTCTTAAAGAGTGATGAGGGCAACCGAGTCCAGCTTCCAAAGCTCATTGACTTCTCTGCTCAGGTGAGAATATATTGGTCACATTCAGTACTGGTGCTTTTGCAAGCTTGTCCCACCTGTTTCCCTGGTTTTCTGGCTGTAAATGAAACTTGTGTTTGTATGCAGTGCAAAGCACACGTCCCAATATTAAAATCATTTTCAAAGTTCAGCTCTTGTGTTGATGTTCTCTGTGAGAAATTCTAACTGTAAAACTGAGCAAAGTAAAATGATTAAAACTCCCTGAAGGATAATGTAATGGTGCTGGCCTATCAGTAACACCGAACAAAATGTTCCAACCATGTTTAGTCAATGAAAAAAAGGAAATATTAACTACAAAGAGGAACAATGAAAGAAGAACTACAGGTTACATTGTGCTATTGTGCTGAATATTTTAAGAATGAATGTAAATCTTCAAAAACAGACATTTTCTGTTACACATCAACAGGCTAAATTCAAATTTTCAAGCAGCTACCATTTCTTTGAAGCTAGTGTGCCTTGAGAATATGTGCTTATTTTACCCTAACTGGCTAGTTTACTGTAATTACCATTCCACTTAAATCCTATTTAGTTTTACCTACATATCACCAGTTTGTGCTAACAGTCTTTCGCAGTAAACACAAAACAAACACACTCACCAGCAGCTTCTTTAGTTACGCCTTGCTAGTACTTGATTGAGTAATTAAGGCAGCTCCGAATGCTGCCTTAATTATTTGTGGCATAGATTCAACAAGGTACTGGACACATTCCTCACAGATTTAGATCTATATTGACATGACAGCTTCATCCAGTTAAGCAGTGGATCTATGATCAAAATCTCCAGTTTCACCACATGCCAGAAGTGCTCTATTTGATTAAGTTCTGATCACTTTGAGGCCTTTTGAGTAGCCTAGAGTGAACTGATATTGTAAAAAGCAGTTTGAGATTATCTGCAAGCAGATATGAGAAGATACACACACTATAGTCATAAAGGCATGGTCATGAGTGTATGAATGTGTGTGTGAATGGGTGGATGACTGGATGTGTAAAGCGCTTTGGGGTCCTTAGGGACTAGTAAAGCGTTATACAAATACAGGCCATTTACCATGCTTAGCAACAACATTTTAATTAGATAAGCAGTGGTGGTTAAACAGTGCTTAGTTAGTACTAAAAAACTCCTGCATGACCTGCAGCCTGTTTCCTGTTTTTAGCTGACAGCTGTGGCATATAGTATGAAGTGGTTTTTGCTACAGTAGCCCATCTGGTTCAATATCTGTGTGTTCAGAGATGTTCTTCTGCTTACCATTTTGTAAACAGTGGTTAAAGTTGTTAAACTTCATATCAGTTCAGAGCAGTCTGGCCATCCTTCTCTGACTTCTAACTTGACATAGGCAAGCGATTTTTGCTCAGGGAACTGATATTTTCTCTTCTGCACTAGAGAGGGTAACGTGGGAAACCCCCAGGAGATCAGCAGTTTCTGAAATAGCCCATCTAACAACTATACCACCTTCAAAGAGAGTGAGACATCCAGGTTTTTGCAGTTAATCCGTGGGGGTGCATGCATATTTGTTGCTGTTGCTGTTGAGGTGGTTCCTATTAAATACAAAGAACAGAGAGAGAAGGGGAAGGGAAAAAGGTCACCTACTTTGATTAAATCATACCATGACTGATTTTTTCAAGTTTATTGATCAGATAGCAAGAGAGGCTGATCTTATCAAGCAGTAACACAAAGGTGCTAAAGGGAAAGAGTACCCATGTGAATCCTCATGCATATTATAGCAAAATATCTGTTGCTATTATTACCAGCAGTAAAATGAACTGAAAGAAAAAAGGGAACAGTGTTTCCTTGCCAGTGATATTAATTTTTGGCAACAACTTTTTGTCCTCTGTCATTTTTGTTTCTAGATTGCCGAGGGGATGGCCTACATTGAGCAGAGGAACTACATCCACAGAGACTTGAGAGCTGCCAACATCCTGGTCAATAAGGCTTTGGTGTGCAAGATTGCCGACTTTGGCCTGGCTCGTATCATTGAAGACAACGAGTACACAGCCAGGGAAGGTACAGCGCAATGTTTCCTATTACAAAAGATCCGGGCAAGTATCGTCCCAGAACAGATGGAATAGCAGCAGTCACAGTTTCATCAATCAAAGGGAAATGACTTTGTGTCAGTGAAATATCAGATTACGACCCAAATGACAAAACAAGCAGAGAATGACGATAAGAGCGACTTACCTCATGGTTTGCACATTGTAAACATGTCACCAGGAGATCCGTATCATTAGGTGACAAGTGATGTCTCACTGTCAACATTAGTTCCTATTCTAACTGGGTTTTCAATTATTTCCAACCAGGTGCTAAGTTCCCCATTAAATGGACAGCCCCTGAGGCCATAAACTACGGTTCTTTCACAATCAAATCTGATGTCTGGTCCTTTGGCATCTTGCTGACTGAGATTATCAGCTATGGGCGTACACCATACCCTGGTAAGTGGAAAACACAAGAGTTTGACACAAATCCCATGAAAAGCAGGACATTTGCACAAATAGTTGGTAAACAGGAGAAGCTTACTTGGTTAAAAGTGGCCTACTAAGACAATAAATCTAACAAGCTAGCATGGGATTTTTTGAATATATAAACATGGCTGTATAAAAAGTTAGAATGTTACTAGAGATATTCAACACATGACTTTATACTTAAGGAGGACACTAAAGAATCTAAAGAATGTTAAAAAAAAAACCCAGACACATTGTATTAAAGAAGATGAACAATAGTAGTGTTCTTGCTCTGATAAACACAAAGTTGAGGTAGACAACAGTCAGGTGGAGCAGCAATTTCAGAGGCATGCTTTGAATAACAAATCCTGTCTTACTGTATGTACAGTCTGTGAACGAGGAAGTGCTCTAATGGTATCTATCAGATATTGCTAGCACTTGCTTGGTAGCTTCACTGGCAGATTGCATTCTTACTATACTGTAATAACAAGTAGGATGCTAGTTTAGGTTAGCAAGTGACTTCTTTAAGTTCCTCTTAGTACAACTAAGATTAAATAACAGTTCATTCGCTGCAGCCACGTCACCTTGAGTGGAAAATTATAACATAGCTGCCTTAGTTTGGAATGTTATTATCATGAAGGGAGAAGCTATCCATAGGCGATAGATAAACCTATCCATTAACAAAGACAGAGATTTTCCATAAGTATTTTTCTTGAGTCCATCCTGTAGTTTTTAGTCTGAATCAAAGTTGTTCATCGACCAACTAATCAAATGAACTATCACCTTCACCAAAGCACTCTAGATTGTCTTACTCCTACATTAGTCCTCTTCTTTTTACTTTTATTTGTTCCATTATTTTCAGGTATGACCAATCCAGAAGTGATCCGCCACTTGGAGAAGGGCTATCGAATGCAACGTATGGATAGCTGTCCCAAGGAACTATATGACATCATGATGGAGTGCTGGAAGAACAAGCCTGAGGACCGCCCCACCTTTGATTACCTGCAGAGCGTCCTGGAGGATTTCTACACAGCCACAGAGAGCCAGTATCAGCAGCAGCCATGAGGCTAATGTTTCAGAGCACATCCATTCACACCTACTGTAACTTCTACAGGAAGCAATGCAGCTCAGGTCACACACACATATATACAATCTCTACAGTTCTGTCTATCTGCGTCTCAATCTTTTTCTAATTTATAAACATATAATTCTTAGTAATAAGGGACTGTACAGCAATTATAGATGCATGAAAGTTTTCTTTAAGGAAGCAGTCACAATGTAAGATTCTTAATTTTGTTAATAGTCCCACAGGTTTGTTATATCTGCAGCCCCCGATATAATAAGTGATGCACAAACACATCCATCATTTGTACCTGTAATCATTTTTTTGTAGTCATTTTATTACAGACTGGACATATCATGGATTACTGTAAGGAAGTTGAATGTTACGCACAGGACACATTGTCTGACATTTTGGGAGGGGTGAGTTGTATTACTTCACTTTGCAGGCGAGGCATGGGTTAGAAGGACCAGAAAGAGTCTCCTGAAAAGCGTATTTCCAGAAACTCTGGAGGAATTGCACAAACCAGACAAACCTCCCCCCTCAAAGTCCAGGAACTCTAGATTCCAGGAACTTTAGAGGTGGAGCTTTCTGTTTTTCAACCTTTCTGTTTTCTAAAATAACACCAACTTGTCAGGACTGGAGAAGTTTGTGGCATAGCTCTTCAAAATGTTTCCATGTGCAAGCAGACTAGTTTGCCTAACCAAAAGGAGATCTAGAGTGCACCAATGCATGACGTAACCTTTTAGTTCCTTGAAAAAAAGATTCCTGGGTAATATGTATATGCACTGCACGTGAAGAGCGCCTGCAGAGTTCAGAAGAGCAAGGACAAAAGAGTGAATTTGCAAGAGGCAGAAAACTATTTTATTAAACAAAAACAAACTATAAATAGCCCTGCGTGTTTTTGTTCTTATCAGCACTGTAAGTTGTGTACAGTCCCTAACATCGAATGCCTTTGAAGGGTTTTTTTAAGCTCACATTAAACCAGACTCTCTCACTCACAAAATATTATGGTAGCACAAACATGGCCCCATTCACAAACACTTGGAGATTGCTGTTATGCTCTAGCGCACATTGTCCAGCCATCAACCACAACACAGATGTTCACAGGAAAATGTGTTCAGCTCTAATAAAACTATAATAAAACAAGCAATCCCACCACTGCCCCCTCCTCCCATAAAACTGTGGTGTTTCACAGGAAAGCGGGTATTGTCTTGCTGATTCTGCTTAAAAGCACTATTTATACTTTTCATTATGCTGTGGATTTAGCATTACTTCTTTATAGTGCCTTTTGCAGTGGATCTTTCTTGCAGACTTAATGTGTACGATATATTCTGTATAGACATTGATATATATGAAGAGATGCAAACATTCAGGCTCTTTAGCTAATGATGCTTGTTGATTCCTGCATGTTTCTCTTTTATTACTTAAATTATTGAGAAAGCAGTGCATAGGTACATTTCACATTGGACTTTTTTGCTAATTTTATGATCTGAACGCCATTGTATCTTCAATGGAAGTGTCTTCCTAACAGCAAATGCCTTTTATTTTCGTTTTTGTGAAGGAACGATGACTGCTCTATTTTATTTACATTATGTGTCTCATCTTGAAAATAGTAGATTTCTTGCACAATACAACAAGCATTTCTTTTGTAGTTGATCAGCAATAGTAAATCATATACTAAAAGCAATGCTAAGTTTACTACTTGAGTGGTTCTAATGCATTTCAGGGGCCCCAGATGTCAGAAGAGCTTTTTTGGGGGGGGGAGTAAGATTTAACGATTTCATGCTGTGACAAATTTAATGCCATTCATAGAGTGGGGACTGTGAGCAAAACATATGAGAGCTTTTTTTTCTTATATAAACAGGTATGATTCATTTACAATGATGACTAAATCATTGCTAGCACTGTATATAGTTATATTCACAAAGTTGAGTATACTTTAGTGTTTTTCTTAATTCTTCAATATAAAGCCCTTGTGATATTTGTGAGATGCTTGATTCTGTCAATGCAACTGTCATGAAATGGAATAAACTACTTTAAAAACTATAAGTGTGTATTGGTGTAACAGCAAGCAACATATTTTAAATGTGACTCTAGCAATGATTCCACTACCTGTAAGATACCTCACCATAAACCCAGACATATGCCTAATTAAATGTGTCTAGAGAGAGTCTGCTGGGGCCTAAGACAAAAGTTCATAGAAGGGTCTCCAACCAGATTTCATCATCATTGTGTTATAAATAATAAATTAAATAATTGTTTATTTAAGTGAATTTTTCGTTGACTGGACAGAGATGGTAACAAAATGATATGTTGTTTAACAAGGAATTTAGAATGAGCTACACATGCAATATAATTAGCATTATCAGCATTTTGATTGTTGTTCTCTTTTGCTGCTTGTCCCAAAAACTGAAAGGTACAGTGTGTAAAATCTCATCGTTAGATATCAGTCAACTGCAATCAACTGAATTATGTTTTATACCCCTCCTAATTCAATTGCATAATCCTAGTTACTTGGCCACTGTAGGACAACCAACTTTGGCTGTAATTTATGGCAGTAAGTTTAGGCTATCAGTTCGCAGCTCACCTCAGCTGTCAATATGTTTTCACATCTACTACTATGAAGGAGGCTGCAAAACTTTGTGAAAGGAGTCCAATACAAGGAGTCAGTGAAGCTCACTTCTGTCTGATCACATTGATAATGAGATGAGTTGTTGAGGATACCCTGAACTTTTCACTTGGTAAGTGTTGCTGTTTTTGATGCTGTTAGCTGCTCTTAGCTGGCATTAGTTAAACTTTCCTTGAAGTGGATCTAACATTGTTTGGCTCTTAGAAAATAAACTCTTAAAAAATGTGAAAATGTAACCAGCCTTTAATCAGAGGAAAACATTAGCTGGTATAATGTTAGCTTTTAACAGAGGCAATTCTAGGATCAGAGCTTTGGGGGTGCTGAGCACCCAGAGAGCTGCCCAGCCAGGCAACATAAACTACTTGTCACAATGAGACTTCTTCCCTGTCTCTGTCAGTCCCTGCATCCTTAATTGTCTCCAGTTGTCCCGAGTTCTCTCTGACTGTCTCCTTGGTGCATTTAAACCCCTGTTCCTCCCCGTCCTCGTCATCTGTTGTCTTCATCTCCGAATCAGTCATCATAATTTTACCATCTCTGTGCAAGTCTGCAAATTTCTTTATTAAATCATAAGATTTTGACGGTCTAAAAGTTGGCCTATCTATTATTGGCTGAGGTTTTAGTAGAGTTGTGGCTGAACCACATAAAAATATATCATTAATTTTAATCTCCCCAATCAATGATAATGTTATGTTGGAATGTTGTTAAAGAGGGTCAAAAAAAAATTCAACCCAGTTTGTTTTGCAGATTCTGTATAGCAGCTTTAATATAGGGAGAACACAACTTCCAGATTGTGAGAGTAAAATTTGTGTTTTTTTCTTTGTCAGCTTAACAGTTTCTGTTGTGCCTGTCACTGTTCCCTGTCTGTTTTCTTACCTGGTTCTTCCTGACCTTGTACTTTCTCCTCACGTTCCCCTCTTTCCTCTCTCCCTCTTTGGACTGACAATCATACACAAATAGATTGTATTCAATTAGACGCAAAAATTACATTAATATGAAAAAACCTACTATTAAGATCACTAATAAAAAAAGTCCTCTCTCAGTGTACTTTCAACCAAAAGGCAAATAACCAAACCACATGTACATCTAATAAAAGATAGAAATACAGGGAGTGCAGAATTATTAGGCAAATGAGTATTTTGTCCACATCATCCTCTTCATGCATGTTGTCTTACTCCAAGCTGTATAGGCTCGAAAGCCTACTACCAATTAAGCATATTAGGTGATGTGCATCCCTGTAATGAGAAGGGGTGTGGTCTAATGACATCAACACCCTATATCAGGTGTGCAGAATTATTAGGCAACGTCCTTTCCTTTGGCAAAATGGGTCAAAAGAAGGACTTGACAGGCTCAGAAAAGTCAAAAATAGTGAGATATCTTGCAGAGGGATGCAGCAGTCTCAAAACTGCAAAGCTTCTGAAGCATGATCATCGAACAATCAAGCGTTTCATTCAAAATAGTCAACAGGGTCGCAAGAAGCGTGTGGAAAAACCAAGGCGCAAAATAACTGCCCATGAACTGAGAAAAGTCAAGCGTGCAGCTGCCAAGATGCCACTTGCCACCAGTTTGGCCATATTTCAGAGCTGCAACATCACTGGAGTGCCCAAAAGCACAAGGTGTGCAATACTCAGAGACATGGCCAAGGTAAGAAAGGCTGAAAGACGAGCACCACTGAGCAAGACACACAAGCTGAAACGTCAAGACTGGGCCAAGAAATATCTCAAGACTGATTTTTCTAAGGTTTTATGGACTGATGAAATGAGAGTGAGTCTTGATGGGCCAGATGGATGGGCCCATGGCTGGACTGGTAAAGGGCAGAGAGCTCCAGTCCGACTCAGACGCCAGCAAGGTGGAGGTGGAGTACTGGTTTGGGCTGGTATCATCAAAGATGAGCTTGTGGGGCCTTTTTGGGTTGAGGATGGAGTTAAGCTCAACTCCCAGTCCTACTGCCAGTTTCTGGAAGACACCTTCTTCAAGCAGTGGTACAGGAAGAAGTCTGCATCCTTCAAGAAAAACATGGTTTTCATGCAGGACAATGCTCCATCACACGCGTCCAAGTACTCCACAGCGTGGCTGGCAAGAAAGGGTATAAAAGAAGAAAAACTAATGACATGGCCTCCTTGTTCACCTGATCTGAACCCCATTGAGAACCTATGGTCCATCATCAAATGTGAGATTTACAAGGAGGGAAAACAGTACACCTCTCTGAGCAGTGTCTGGGAGGCTGTGGTTGCTGCTGCACTGCTGTTAAGTTGCCTAATAATTATGCACAGTAATAGTCACCTGCACACACAGATACCCCTAAAATAGCTAAAACTAAAAACAAACTGAAAACTACTTCCAAAAACATTCAGCTTTGATATTAATGAGTTTTTTGGGTTCATTGAGAACATGGTTGTTGTTCAATAATAAAATTATTCCTCAGAAATACAACTTGCCTAATAATTCTGCACTCCCTGTAATATATATACACTCAACAAAAATATAAACGCAACACCTTTGTTACTGCTCCCATTCCCCATGGGATGGACGTAGAGACCTGAAATTCATTCCAGATACACAATATAACCATCCCTCCCAAACAGTGGTCACAAATCAGTCCAAATGTGTGGTAGTGGGCACATCTGCTATATTGAGATAATCCATCCCACCTTACAGGTGTGCCACATCAGGATGCTGATCTGACATCATGAGTAGTGCACAGGTGTACCTCAGACTGCCCACAACAAAAGGCCACCCTGGAATGTGCAGTTTTCTGCGCTATTGGGGGTCTGGGGACCCAGAACCGGTCAGTATCTGGTGTGACCACCATTTGCCTCATGCAGTGCAACACATCGTCGCATGGAGTCTATCAAATTGTCAATTGTGGCCTGTGGAATGTTGGTCCACTCCACTTCAATGGCTGTGCGAGGTTGTTGGATATTCATGGGAACTGGTGCACGCTGTCGTATACGCCGGTCAAGCACATCCCGAACATGCTCAATGGGTGACATGTCCGGTGAGTATGCTGGCCATGCAAGAACTGGGACATTCTCAGCTGCCATCTGCCCTGAACAATGTGAACCATGATTCATCCGTGAAGCGCACACCTCTCCAACGTGCCAGACACCATCGAATGTGAGCATTTGCCCACACAAGTCTGTTACGGCGACGAGCTGGAGTCAGGTCAAGACCCTGATGAGGACGACGGGCATGCAGTTGAGCGTCCCTGAGACGGTTTCTGACAGTTTGTGCAGAAATTGTTTGGTTGTGCAAACCAATTGTTCCAGCAGCTGTCTGGGTGGCTGGTCTCAGACGATCTTGGAGGTGAACCTGCTGGATGTGGAGGTCCTGGGCTGGTGTGGTTACACGAGGTCTGCGGTTGTGAGGCCGGTTGGATGTGCTGCCATATTCTCTGAAACGCCTGTGGAGACGGCTTATGGTTGAGAAATGAACATTCAATGCACGGGCGACAGATCTGGTTGACATTCCTGCTGTCAGCATGCCAATTGCACGCTCCCTCATTGCTTGTGGCATCTGTGGCATTTTGCTGTGAGACAAAACTGCACATTCCAGGGTGGCCTTTTGTTGTGGGCAGTCTGAGGTACACCTGTGCACTACTCATGATGTCAGATCAGCATCCTGATGTGGCACACCTGTGAGGTGGGATGGATTATCTCAATATAGCAGATGTGCCCACTACCACACATTTGGACTGATTTGTGACCACTGTTTGGGGGGGATGGTTATATTGTGTATCTGGAATGAATTTTAGGTCTCTACGTCCATCCCATGGGGAATGGGAGCAGTAACAAAGGTGTTGCGTTTATATTTTTGTTGAGTGTATATATATAGTTTACAGTGGTTTTCTTCTGTGATATGCTGCAAAGACTGAAATTAAGCCAAGAGAAACAAGAACTTACAAAAAAGATGTATACATAAAAACATCTCTTGATGGATAAATTATAGGCAAGGATATGCCCAAAAGCTTAGCTCCACTGGATGTTTCCTTGGAAAATTGTTTTGTCACTCATCCAAGTGACTTCTTCAGTCTCACAGATGAGTGATGAAACGTCTCTCCCACTGAAAACCATTGTGTCCATTTGAATTCAATCAGTTTTTTCAGGTGAGTTGCTAGATGCTGTGCTCATGAGGACAGTGGGTTTCAACTTGCAGCACAACACAAAGTTGCCATATTTGATGAATGATCAAAACACTTAATTGGGCAGAATTAAGTCAAAATGTAACACCTCATATGAATACACATCACACATGACCCAGCATTGTTCTAAGAATGCAAACTTTCTTATTAGAAGTTTCCACAGCTGCCAGAAAGGGACACATTTCCGAATGATCTTAATCAGTGGTCACTGCTCTCAGTCTTGCTGCACGGATGATGTAACGTCTATGATAAGCACCAAGGTTTGTGTCCTAGTCAGAA